ACGCAGCGTCTCCATTGCCGTGTTCCTCCAAGCAGATCCAGGTGTGACAGATGTCCCGTACCCAAAAGACCCAACAACGTCCAGAGTCCTCCTGTTGTTTTTGTCCAGACGCCAAAGAAAGCGCTCTCGACGACTTTTGCAAAAGAGCACAAAGCTCCGCTGATGACTTCTGCATCTCCCTCTCTGCTCCTTCTCTCCCCTCTGGCTTTCAGACAATGCCCACGAAAAAGATCGTTGTTTCAGAGTGCAGCTGCAGCAAGAGGGGCTGAGTGTGTGTTGTGAGCCAGTTTTGGTCTGTATGTGTGTGTGTGTCTGTGCAGATTCATCTCTGCAGCATATCTGGGTTCCTGCAGTGGTACTCTAGCACCTAGCTGGCTCCGTCTTGTCGTGACTTTGAGTCTGTGATGGTGTGTTTGAGTGTGGGTGCTGCAGCGTGACACAGCAACTGTCTGACCTGACACGTCAGAATCGATGGCGGGGCATTGTGGCGATATTTTCTGGGGCGTGGCGTCTCTGGCCTGACCACATCTGGGCCACTTCTGGCTCCAAAGTATCGTCATCACCTGAACTCCAACTCTCATGTCCAGAGTGGTACAAAAACTTTGTTTAAACTACTTAGAAATGATTATTTTTCTTTTGTACTTTGCATTTTTTAAACATTTTCTCTCCATTTTTTTCTCGTTGTAACATTAGAACGTAACATTTTAAAATACATGATAACTGAAGTAGTAAAAGTCTTGAATTTTCTAAAAAAATAGGTTTGATTTTGAGAATATGGAGAAAGAAAAGTAAAAATAAATTAGAATATTAAAAATAAGTTCCTAACAACAAATACATTTTTTAAACGGCAAAAGTGCAAGAATGAGACGTTCTACGACTCTACAGTTTCTGTTTATCTAGGCTGTTCCTTTTATTCTAAAGTGTATTTGAAGATGTAAAGGTGGCAGTCACCTGACACCTTCAGCTGTTTTTATCTCAGCTTGGATTATCAGAAAGGAGGAACCAACGACACCAGCGAGGAAGTATCGGTGTTAGTCCCAGGCTAACTTAAACAGAACTGATTAGTCGGGCCGGTTGTGTAAGAGTGACAGCAGTAGGTGGGTGAGACGGCACATTGGCCACCTGCACTGTCTGCCACATTCACACAAAGCACAGAGGGGACAGACCGGCTGTGGATGAGTCACAGGCAGGCAGAAAGTGTGTGTGCGTGTGTGTGCGTGCGTGTGTGTGTGTGTGTGTGTGTGTGTGTGTGTGTGTGTGTGTGTGTGTGTGTGTGTGTGTGTGTGTGTGTGTGTGTGTGTGTGTGCGTGCGTGTGTGTGTGTGTGTGTGTGTGTGTGTGTGTGTGTGTGTGTGTGTGTGTGTGCATGCAAATCAGTGCTTACTCTTCAGTTTTTCTGTTTAACTGCTCGGTGAACTGCTGGAACTTCCCTACTGGTTTTCAAACTTTCAATCCTTGGAACAGGTCCAATTCAGTTAGGGCAACACACACACACACACACGCACACACACTCAAAGGCCTTATTGTGTTTGATGACGATGCAGGCAGGTCAAAGTGGGGCAAAGCAGTAGAAAAAGGCAGCTACATGGTGATGAGGATACGTTTGCTAACACGCACCCTCCTCCATCTCCTCTTCACCTTCTGGTGCTCAGATTCTTAATGTCATAACTCACATTTTACGACACCCTGATGACCCTCCACACACACACACACACACACACACACACACACACACACACACACACACACACACACACACACACACACACACACACACACACACACACACACACACACACACCATCACCACAGCCCTCTCTTGGGCTCCCAGCACAGCCACAGAGGCCTCCGTTACCATAAAACCCAGTTCCCTGTAAACCGGCATCACAAGCTGCGTTCTCATTTCCCCCTCAGTGTTTGTCAGATACTTTAGGTTAATGTTTATACTTCATTCTAAACTAAACATTAACCGCTGAGTCAGCCATCTCAGCAGTAAGAGGGATTCCTAACTTCTAACAAACTAATTCTGATGTAAAGGGTTAACTCTAAGCCCCCCCCCCCCCCCCCCCCAAATAATTAAGGATTATCAGATTAGCAAAACGCTGACCCACACTGGGATATAATCTAATTTTTTTGCTCAAACTGAAACAAAGTTCTCAGAAAACAACCCCCCCCCCCCCATTGGCTCGACTCTTCTCTTGTTACACACAAGAAGTGTCCCAGTCTCCCACAGCACTCCCTCACAGTGACACCATCCCTGTAGGCGTCAACAGGGCTGAGACAAAAGCAGCGGTGTGTTTGAGGTAAACACATGGCACTGGCAGAGCGATGGGCCGGCCCGATGGGGCTCCCGGTCGTTGTGCTGCAGCAGCAGCCGTACATCTGCTGGCTGCATGCTGGTGGAAAGCTACCTGACAGCTGCTTCTCACACATCAGATAAGATTACAGGTATACCTGCTACACCTGTTCAAACAACCCATGTGCATGTACACCACTCAGTGTGTGTGTGTGCATGCGCGCGCATGTGTGCCTGCGTGTGTGTGTGTGCGCACGTGTGCATGTGTGCGTGCATGTGTGTGTGCATGTGTGTGTGTGTGGGGGGGGGGGGGGGGGGGAGTGGGGGGGGGGGGGCTCCAGATACAGACCAGGGGAAGGAGTCCATTATTATTAATGTGTGTGTGTGTGTGTGGGGGGGGGGGGGGGTGCAATTTTCAAAGATGTCTTCACTTCTAGCTTGACGGACTTCTTTCAAACACTTGCTGCACTACTGAGCCGCATAAAGCCCATGGCAACTGTTTCTCCTGGTTTTTGTGTCGTCTTTTTGATTTTACTGCAAATCTGCAAAAATGAAACAAATCTGTCAGTCAGTAAAGCTCAGATGATGCTACTCAACACATACACACAGCCTGCCTGCCTTTGGCTCCAGCCTGACATCTAGCGACTCAGGCTGCAATGTGATCATGACATGTTACCATAACGAGGCCGAGAAGGAGGAGGAACGTATGTATTGTTATGATGAGCAGAGAAAAAGTGTGGTTGTAATGACTAGCTCTCTGGGATCTGGCTCACCACGTAGCAGCTGACGTGATGAGTAAATAAAAACACACATAAGCCACGCGCTTGTCCGTTTGTGCTGTGATGTCATGATGCACTGGTGATGGGATGGTTTATAAATACCACGCTGTGTTTGGGTGGGCTCATGTTGTGGCTGCTCTCTGTGTGTTCTCAGCATTTCCTCACCTCCACACTCCCTCACTTTAGTCAGCACTCTGGCCCATGGCACTAAGAATAACCCTAAACAGGTTATAGCACGTTACAGCATGCTCCTATTAGGAGCTCAAACGTACACTGTAAAAAAGACTTGTCAAGAAAGTGAAAATAAACATGTTTTAGATGATATATCTAATTTTTTTATCTGAAAAAGAAAAACAATGTTTTTGCAAAAACAGTACCGCATCACATAAAATAAAGTATTTCTCAATATGACTATATTACTCCTAATGATAAATAGTATCAATGACTTAAACAGGGAGCTGATTAGGACGAGACAGGGACCCATGTGACCTTGATGGCTTTATTAGTAATAACAATGACCTCATCAGTGGCTCCCATTGCCTTAAGGTTGGTTTATGCTTGACGCATCCGCGAGGTCCGTACGGCTCCGCGCGGCAAAATTGCGTCATTTTAACAACCACGCCCCTCCACCGCACCTCTGCACGGCCCAAACTTTCCGCACCGCACACCTAGGAAATTTTCTAACCATGCAGACGGTCGGATGCGGAAAAACATGGCGGACCGGCAAGAACTAGTGTGGCAGAGGTTCGTAAATACAGACATTTGTATGATTCAGCTCTCAGAGATCACCGTGATCATGTTGTTAATAATTCTTGGAGAGAAATAGCTCGCACTGTCGGAAAAGACGAGGACGCTGTTAAAAATGCTGGAATGCCATGTTGTAAACAATAATTTCTACTTCTACTATGGTGTAGTGTTGGATGCTTGCCATAGAGCTCCATGCTGCCCCCTGCAGTTTGGGAGAATATTGGCTCACCGCAGAGACGAGCCGCATGAACCATAAACGCTGCGAGTTGTGAAGCGCGTTCCATCCGCGAGCCGCATCACCAAGCGGAAAGTAAACGCGTCAAGCATAAACCAAGCTTTATCGGGGGCGACGGTGGCACAGGAGTTAAGTGCTCGCCCCGTAATCCGAAGGTTGCAGGTTCGAGCCCCGCTCAGTCTGTCTCTGTCGTTGTGTCCTTGGGCAAGACACTTAACCCACGTTGCCTGCTGGTGGTGGTCGGAGGGACCGGTGGCGCCAGTGCTCGGCAGCCTCGCCTCTGTCAGTGCACCCCAGGGCAGCTGTGGCTACATTGTAGCTCATCTCCACCAGTGTGTGAATGTGTGTGTGAATGGATGAATGACCGATTGTGTTGTAAGGCATCTTGAGGGGTTCCAGGACCCTAGAAGGCGCTATATCAAATACAGACCATTTAGCATTTACCATTTACCATCAGTGTGTTAGTTTCAGACCACTGCTTTTAAATCTTTACATATATTTAATGCCTTTGATAGTTTTAAGAATATTAGCCAAACTACTTTTGCCTTACTCCATTGGCAGATTTTTAAAAACCCAAAACAAGAAGATTAGATCGTATCTGAGAATATATATTTTATTTTAAGTTGTGTTGTTTTTGCAAATAAGACGTTTTTCTCTTTTTAGACTAAAAACAAGACAAAATATAAAATGTAGTTGTTTGAAAACTAGTTTTTACAGTGTAAAACACACACACACACACACACACACACACATTCATGCTTCCACAGAGTCTGGCAGGAATGAGGTCAGACACACGGGTCCTCATTGCACATTATAATTATTATTACCAGTTTTTTTTTATTCAGCCAATAGGAGAGCAGCAGGGAGGGGCTCCGGAGAAAAATCGGGATGGAGACAGGCGTTGATTGGCTCGCGCTTCTTTGCGGTAGGGTATAAAATCGCGAGTTTGGCGTTGTTGTTTTTACAGTAGTATCACAGAGAGCACGGGAAACAGGGAGACTATGAGAAAGCGCAGCCGCTCCATTCAACCACATGGTTCCTCCACCGCACAGACAAGCTGCGCTGCGCACAGCCAGGCTCACATAAGGGACTCGCTCTGCTGCCGCCCTCAAGCGCGCGTTTTACGGCTCGCGGGGCGAATATTCAGCCGCACAGGCAGCTGAGAGTTCAGTCGTTGCGGGATCTGCTTCCTGATTCTGTGAAGCGCGCCGGTAAAAGTTAAAAGAGACAAAGTTTCTCTTTACACGGACTGAGCTGACAGAAGAGGCAAAGAAACTTGGATGAACTTTTTAAGGCAGCTTAAATAAAAAGTCAGGAATCATTTTTCAGAAGCCTACTTGGCTTTTATTTTTCCAAGTTTGTGAAAGCATCGCACTGAACCGAGTGCTTCCAGAATCCTGGAGGAAGAGATGGTGCAGCACATGAGACAGACACAGAGCACCCACGCGCACTCGCCCGGCGGGGACTCTACAGACACGGGAGACATGGACCTGGAAATAGACACATCTCCGATGTCGGAGTCTCCTTCCTCCCGGGAAAGGAGCGACTTGGCGTGGTGCAAAACTCCAACGGGGCACATCAAGAGACCCATGAACGCGTTTATGGTTTGGTCTCAGATCGAGAGGAGGAAGATCATGGAGCAGTCGCCGGACATGCACAACGCGGAGATTTCCAAGCGGCTAGGGAAGCGCTGGAAGCTGCTGAAAGACACCGACAAGATCCCGTTCATCCGCGAGGCGGAGCGGCTCAGACTCAAACACATGGCCGACTACCCAGACTACAAGTACCGGCCCAGGAAGAAGGTCAAGTCGGGCAGTGGAGTGAGCAAGCAGACGGAGCGCGCGGAGAAGAGCGGGGAGCGCAGCGCAAAAGCCGGTGGCGTGAAGAAGAGCCCCGCGCCCAGAGGGGGCACTAGGACTCACAAACACGGGAGCAAGAGCGCCGCGGGGCAAGACCATGCGTCTCCCGGTGATCACCAGTCACTCTTCAAATCCAGGTCAGTGTCCGGCGCCCGGCAGATCCCGGAGAAGCGCACGGGAGAAGCGCGGCGCACCCACGTGTTCGGTGGGACGGGCAGCCTGGAGAGCGGTCCCCCGTCCGTTGGTGTCCCGGCCAGTCCCACCCTGAGCAGCTCAGCGGAATCCAGCGACCCGCTCAGCCTGTATGAAGAGCAGAGCCCCGGATCCAGCGAGTCATCACACACCGCGCGCCTCAGGTACGCTCGGGCTTCCTCCCCGACCCCGTCAGCCTCCCACTCTTCTTCGTCAGTTTCCTCCTCATCGTCGGATGAAGAGTTTGAAGACGAGCGGCTTGACCTGAACCCGAGTCCCGGCGTTGAGAGCATGTCTCTGGGCGGCATGGGCTTCTCTGACGCGGAGCTGGACCGGGACTTGGACTGGAGCTTCGGGGAGTGCGGAGCGGGATCTCACTTTGACTTCTCCGACTACTGCACCCCGGAGGTCAGCGAGATGATCTCAGGAGAGTGGCTGGAGTCCACCATCTCCAACCTGGTGTTCACCTACTGACTCAGCCGCGGGGGAGAGCGCGGCGCGTGACGCCCTCCTCCCAGTTTGAACTCATCCACCCCACCAGGACAGGCGCGTGTCCGCAGTTCTTTCACTAAAGGAGAGAAAGAAAAAAAAGGTGGCCCCGCGTGCGCGTTGAAGCCCAGGCATGCGCCGCTCTCAGACTTGGACAGCGCTCCGTGCGCGTTGACGGGGACGCGCACGATGGAAAAGAAATGCTTAGTTTGCATTTGGACACAGAGGAGGAGTGAATGTAAGCAGGGAAGAGTGCTCACCTGGATGAGGACTGAGCCTGAGTCATAAGAAACTGTTTCCGGTTAAGGGACACTGCGGAGCTCCGCGTTTGGTTTTGGTTTAGACAACTCACACTGAACACCACCTTGCTATTCAGGTGTAGTTTGTTATTTTTATCACAGCATCAGCACGCATGCCCTTCAACACCAGAAGGATTTTCTTCTTTATTAGGTGCGTAAAAATGTTCATTGGTGCGTAATTACGCAATTTGTGTGACCATAGGACAAAATTCACGATCACCAGCTTCTCTCTTAACGGCAGGACTTAAAAACAAAGACTGACTCTCTTCAAAAATCTTTTTTTTTTAAAAATAATCAAAAAACACTCAGCGCACAATTCAGGACCAACGTTCCCGGATGTGCATTCTTTCTGCCTAGTCGTTTGTAGTTTCTGTGTCAGATGACGGTTTTTTATATCGATGTATTTATACCGGCCAAACTTTTTTATACATAGAAGTATTGTTCTCGTACAGGTCTCGTTTGTGTTCGTGCCCACCTACACACACACACACACACACACACACACACACACACACACACACACACACACACACACACACACACACACACACACACACACACACACCTGTCTGTATCCAGCGCGGAAGGGCTAGAAGTGTATCTTATTTAAAAAAATCCGACGTCTCTCACTCATAAGGAGATTTGCGTGTGTCATGATTTTCTACATGTATTTTTGTACAAAATCTATAGAAAAACTGAGTTTCCGGCAAAGGTGGAGGCAGAATACCATTGTTTGCATCAACGTTGGTGTTTCGACGTGCATTTGGGGGGTTTGTTTGGCACAATCTGACCTCACACAGTGTTTACAGTATTTACCCACATGCTTCTTAATGGCACGGCGACTCCAGCTTCACCAGCCCAGTAAGCAAAGCCGCACTGAGGCGCGCGGAGCCTGAGTGGTGGCTGTGTTTCCAGTCCACACAAACGTTCCCAGAGAGTCACTGTTTGGATAGAGCTAATACCTCTGTGTGCTTTTTTTATATCTTAAGATAAATTTTTATTTGAACCACTGGATGGAATTTCACGCTCATTCCACTTTGCCTAGACTTGTGGAGGAAGGGAGATGTATGAAGTGCTTCATCTGTTACTGCGCAGAATTGCATCAAAAATAGTATTTAACCCTTCTGTACATGTTGGCTAAGTATAGCAGGCTAATTGTTTTCCTATATTATGGCATGGCAAATAGCATTTGTATTTCAGATTCAGGTATATGTAGCTATAGCTGTTGTGTTTAAGATTTTTAAAAGAATAATAACATGAAGATATTTATGTAAACTGACTGTACAATAAGCAAAGATTGTGTGTTTTTATGTATGATGATGATGATGATGGTGATCAACGACAGGCACTAGGACAGCCATCTTTGGACATCTCCATGTTAAAGATGATTGTGGTGGAAGAGTCAGAAGAAAAAAAAATCCAGAATTTTTTTCTGTCTTTTTAAAAATATATTTTTCTTTCATTTTTTCCCATTTGTGCAATACGTTGTGTTTGATCATGTTTAGTCCACTCATGCCAATATCATTTGATGTCTTTTGCTCAAAACCAGCCAACGTTTGGGTCAAACACTGCCTCTCTGACCTCTGTACAGATTGTGTTTATTTTATTTTTTATTTGTTTTATTTTCCTTTCTTCCAAGAAGGAAATAAAATCAGCTGGAACTGAAATGAGGAGTTTCTTTTTACGTTTCACTAACTGATGTGCAAAATAAAGCAGGATTATGACATTTAAGGGTATAAAAAGTGAAACTGTGCAAAAAAAATTACCTCAATTCGTGAAAAATCGCTGATCTGAAGTTAAATGTTTACGTTTTGTTTGTGCATGTGCATGCATGTGTGTTTGTTGTCAGTGTGCGCTGTTGCTGACAGCCAATCAGCAGCCGGCTAGTGAGTCGACGGGAGTGTCTTTCTTCTCCATAACATCTGCCTTGTGACTGCGCACGTGCAGAAATCGTGGCTGCCATGGTAACACTGTATCCAAGATAGAGGTTGCAATTCACTGGGGACCAGCGTGGCAGTCGTGTGTGTGTGTGTGTGTGTGTGTGTGTGTGTGTGTGTGTTTGAGAGAGAGGGGGAGAGAGAGAGGGAAAAATCATAGAAAGAAAGGGACACAGACTGATCCATCAGGGTGGGGTAGGGGGCAGACATTTCTGCAAGGCATGACTGGAATAAAGAAGGAGGTGTGCACATGTGTGTGAGTGTGTGTGCGTATGTGTGCCAACGGAAGAAAGGGAGGAGAGGGTAAAGTGGGGAGGGTGTCTGTCTGTCTTGCGGTGGATCGTGCAGGAGACTGCTCCCAAATCCAATTAATTCCTCCTGGATGCGTTCATTTGTCTTGTACATCTGACGAGGACCACATGGAGAGAAAGGGTCCCCTATGGTACCGTATTTAGTGTGTATCAATTTATGCTCGATTCCACCAGAGATGCTGGTAATTATTACCATCTCTCCCTCTTTCTGTCTGTCACAAGTGCGGGGTCTTCTCCGGCGTTCCCTCTGACATCCTGGGCTCAGTAATGAGAAAGATAAAGCGTGGTCATTACACACACCATCCCAGAGACGTGAGACATCCCACACACACACACACACACACACACACACATCTGGAGTAAGCATGACATCACACATGAAAATGGCATGTGAGGTGTTTCTGTTTGTCAAAGTTCCCAGAGTTGGGTTGACATGGATGCCCTCCTCCTCCTCCTCCTCCTCCTCCTCCTCCTCCTCCTCCTCCTCCTCCTCCACACTCTCCCACACTGACCCACATAAACACACATGCATGAGTGTATTGTGCCCTTAACCTTCACGCCTGATTGCTGCAGTTTGTTTATGTCTCATGTGAACCAGAGTGAGTGTGACAAGATCACCTGAAGGTGTCTGCACGTTGGCCAAAAGTAAAATAGCACCAAAAATCCAATGAAACAACTCATTTCTAAACTTTTTTCTTCAGTTTCTTTGTTTAAGCTGCTTTATGAGCTAGATGAATTCCTTCACATATAATTAGATGTGGCTTCCTGATGTTGCCTTGTTTGCCTTTAATCACACTTTATCACCATATATTATCACATCTCTCCTGCAAACAGCTGCTGGCTGTCACACACCACTTCCATTACACAACTTCCCTTTGGTGCAATGTTTAATTACTTTATTTCACACTAATATTTTCTAGTTTTGTTGTTTTGCACTCCCACCACACAGCATTTAGGTGGAAACAAGAGTTTCTTTCACACGTATTAAACCAAAAACCCTCTTTACAGATGAAAATGTAGACTCACTATAAAACAAAGGAGAGGATTGTGAGTTGCATGGTGTTCTTGAGTTAAAAAGGTGGGTTTTTAAATATCATAATAAAAAATCAAGTCTGGGCCACTTTATACACACTCTCAAAGATGAAACATTGAGTTTACTCAACCAAGTTCCATCCATCCATTATCTGAACCCGTTATCCATGCATGGTCGTAGGGGGCTGGTGCCTATCTCCAGCAGCACACGGGCAAACAGGCGGGGTACACCTTGGACGGATTGCTAGTCCATCGCAGACTCAAGTAAGTTATGTCAACATGATTCATATCTGCAAATGCCGATCAGGTCCTGGTCGTGAGGTGTTAATTGCATCTTGTAAAAAAGGCTTGAGCGGTATCCAAATTGTAATATCGTCCAACGTCCTCCACATTTTACCATGGTATATGATATTACCGGTAGGGATGGACAGTATACGATACTTTTTAAGGCACTGACCAAATTCTGTGATACCGACCAAGGACCGATACACGTGATATAAAACGGTGCCTTGTTTTAGTACCTTTAGCCACGAGAGTTTGGTACCTGATTTCCCAAGATAGACAGCAGCTCAAACCAAGGGTACTATGTTGTCAGTCATTGCGGGCTAGCTGTAAACAGAGCTAGCAGCATGGTAGAAATAACGCACTCTAAAGTTTGGGTCCACTTCACTAAATGCGATTGCTCACTGGGTGATGACAACGCCAACAAAGATCTAAGCGAGGCATCATCACCTTAATCTGCTCCAGCAGGTAAAGAAACTGTTTATGAAAATGTTAGCTTGAAACTTTGGCTTCTGCAGCTGATGGTGCGTTTGCTTCCTCCTTGGTACTTGAAATTTTCGACCTCCGAGTAGGAAAAATGAATTGTTTGAAAAAGAACAGCAAAAGGAATGAAGATACACAGCAAATTTAGTTCACAGCAGAGATGTTTTTTGAGAAAAAATGCTATATATTTAATTATAAAAGATAATTATTAATTATTAAACACCCAAAAGTATAAAAATTGGTTCCGTTAAGTACCGGTATTGATTCCTAGAACCGAATAGATTGGAATGTGAAAGGTACCAATCCCTAATTACTGGGACCAAAAATGATGACTAAGGAGGAGCTGGCCCAAGGAGCTGGGGAGAAGTAGGTCTGGGCCTCACTGCTTAGGCTACTGCCCCCGTGACCCTACCCTGGATAAGCGGCTCAAAATGGATATTACTAAAACAATAACATAACACACATAACATTAACAACTTCAAAAATAAAAAAATGCAGCTTAAAAAATATTTGTTTGGTTGAAAAACCAGCATGTTTACCTTTTCTTAAAAAATGACACAAGCCTGAAGGAGGTTTGTTGTGTTGTGGAGTTGCTAATGCTAACGGTTGCTAATGCTAGCGGTTAGCTTCGACCAGCCAAGACGTGCTCTGCTCTCTCCTGGACATTAAATCAACAACAGCCTTCCCCATGGGCCGTATGGGTTTTCAGAGGGATACAGATGGTTTGACTCATACATGGGCTTATTAAGGTGTATGTGGGCAAATCCCTGTGGGGCCACCATGGAACCTGTGGACACACCCTGTTGGCACCCATATGGTTTGCCCATATTTAACCATATGGAGCCCACCTATGCATGCTGGCTGGAATAGTATATTTAAATGCCCTAGGAACCTGAGGTAAAAGCTCATGGAAGAAAACACATTGAAATGTGTTTTCCAGCCTGTTTGAAGAAGTGGAGTCCATGAAATATAATCACACCATAGAGTCACTGCTGCTCACTGGGAGTCCCAATGGCAATAGTAAAGACACCATATAGAATATTATTCTGAAAACAGTAAATAAATACAAATGTGGCTTTGAACACTTCAGACTCATTCACAGAGTACCACAAGATGAGTTTTTTGTAACACTCCCAATGAAGTTGGAGCCAGGAGACTAACAGACGAAGTGATACATAACTGCTGCTCTTCTGACACAAAGCTATGATTTCTGTCTCACAGTGTATACTTTTACTCAGGAGAAGAGTGAGAAAATAGTAAGAAATAATAAATAAGATTCCAGGTGCAAGCTAGGATTTTACACATTTAATAGATTCAAAGAACAATCAGTTGAAATGCAGGACGAAGAAAAAAGCAAAACAAACTGTAGCACCACTGGTGGGACAAGGCAGAACCACCCAACCTTTTTTATTGATATCATCAGTAACTGACTGTAAAGAAGCTTGAATTGGCTTTTTTATTTGTTATGAAAGTAGATCCTAAAATAAGACTCACTCTGGCTTCCAAGTCAGTAAAAGAAAATCTTGTCTCAAAGGGGAGATTGCTCACTTTTATTGGAAGTTTTAAGAGTAAAAAGAGTGAAAAGGGCGAAGCGCTGTGCAGGTAGAGTCAGGCGTGTTTCAGGAGGTTTTCACTGGTAATAAAAGTCAATAACAGATAGCAACAAATGCAGCTTCAAAGTATTATCCAGGAAGTAATTCTAACAGTCAAACTGAGAGCCTGGGCTTCAGCACGGTGAGGGCTGGCCAGTGTGTGTGTGTGTATGTGTGGTAAAACAGTTGTGATGATGCCATATTGCAAGGCTGTCCATCATCATCTGATGGGTGGGGACTAGACGGGACAGATGCAGAGTAGAGCACGTTCATATAAAACCTGTTTGGGGTAAAATGATGTCTGGCAGCATGCAGAGGGCTGTTATGTGGGGGTAGACTGGACATTTTTACCCCAGGGCTCCTGGATAAACAGTTCTGCCCAAACATGAAACTCCTATCGGTGGAGGAATTGCTGATTGACATAAATGGACTGATCGTGGCGTGTAAGACATGCCGCTGTGGCTCCTTAATGGTGGGCTGCTTGCATAACAAACATTCCCAACATCAGTCAGCACGGCTCGTGTACACATCATCACATACATCTCCATGTCTGCCAATAACAGCTAAGAAATCCCGCCGCTGACTCTGTTTGCACCCAGAGGTTTGCTGATTGATGGCGATGTCGATTTAGTGACTGCACAAAATTTAATAGGGTGAGGAGAGAAAGTGAAGGTTAAAGGAACTTTTTAAGATATCTTGTCATGACTCCCAGTCTTTCACCCTCCTCTGCCTCTGCTGCCTCCTCATCAAGTCCTCAGCCTCTTCATTCATCTCACCTGTCCCTGTCATCAGCTCATTACACACACCTGCTCCCCCTGCTATGTATTCACCAGCCAGCCACCAGTTCCCTGCCAGATTATTGAAAACTTTTTGTCAGTAGATCTTCTAGCCTCGCACCTTGCCTTCACAGCCTCTGGACCTCGTTTTTATCGCCTGACCCCTGCCTTGAAATCTGCCTGCCACCACAACCCTCGCCTGTCTACTACCACGTCTCCAGCCTGCTCCCTGTACCTGCTTGTCCCGATCTGGT